AAAACTTTCAATGCAGGGAAAGGACAGTCCTTTCAATACACAGTGTTGGGAAAACTGGATACCCACATACAAAAATATTAAATTGGACCCTTACTATACACTATATAAAAAGTAATTCACAACAGGTCAAAGACTTAAACATACTGGCTGAAACTATAAAATTCACAGAAAGCATAGGTAAGACATTTCATGACACACTGGATTTGGCAATGATTTCTTAAATACAAAGCCAAAAATACAAGCAACAAAAGAAGAAATAAACCGGATTTCATCAAAATTTAAAATTTTGTGCTTGAAAGCACTATTAACAGAGTGTAGAGAATAGAAAATATCTGCAAACCATATATCTGATAAGAGATTAATATCCAAAATTTAAAAAGAACTCCTATAACTCAACAACAACAACAAAAACAAACCACCAAATTTTAAAATGGGCAAAGAACTTGAATAGAAATCTCTCAAGAGAAGATATACGAATGGCCAATAAGCACATGACAAGATGTTTACCATTCCTGGTCATTAGAGAAATGCAAATCAAAATCACAATAAGATACCACTTCACATCCATTAGGATGACTACTATTAAACAAAACAAAACAAAACAGAAAAGAACAAATGTTGGAGATGTGGAGAAACTGGACCCATGTGCACTGCTGTTGCGAATGTGAAATGGTGCAAACGCTGGGGTTACTATTATGGCATCTCCTCAAAAAAATTAAACATATGGCTGAACGTGGTGGCTCATGTCTGCAATCCCAGCACTTTGGTACACTGTTGCTGGGAATGTGAAACGGTGCAAACATTGTGAATTTTATGGCATTTCCTCAAAACATTAAACATACGGCTGAGCATGGTGGCTCAGGCCTACAATCTCTGCACTTTGAGAAGCTGACGCAGGAGGATCTCTTGAGCCCCGGAGTTTGAGACTAGCTTAGTCAACACAGCAAGGCTGTCTCTACAAAACTAACTAATTAATTAGCATATGACTTAGCCATTCCACTTACAGGTATATACCCAAATTAATGGAAAACAGGGATATTACAGAAATATCCATACATATAACATCAATATGGATATAAAATATAATATGGAATAATATATAATAATAATATAATATGGAAAGCAGGTATTTGTACTCTACTGTTTGTTATTCACAATAGCTAAAACAGAGAGCAATCTTAAGTGTCTATTAACGGATAAATGGATAAACAAAATGTAGTATATCCACACAATGGAATATTATGATACATGCTATGACATGAATGAACCTTGAAGACACCGTGCTAGGTGAAATAAACCAGTCACAAAAAGACAAATATTATAGTAATCTATTTAAATGAAACACCCTGAGTAGTCTAATTCAGAGATAGAACAGTGATTACTGAGAGTTGAGGGGAGAGGGAAATGGAAAGTTACTGTTTAACTAAAAGAGTTTAGTATAGGATGACGAAAAAGTTCTGGACACAGCAGTGGTAATGTTTTAAGACAATGTGAATGTATTTAATGCCACTGACTTGTATAGTTAAAAATGCCCAACATGGGGAATTTTATCTTACGCATACTTTATCACAATATAAAGAGATAATTTATTTTTTAAAAATCCATTATAATGTTCAGAAAGTCTAAACTCCTAAGTAAAAGAGCCCCGAAACTTGGTAGGCCTTAAGTTCTTTGTTCACAAAGCCCACACTGATAATCTCTCCTGTAAGAATGTAAAATTCAAACAGAGAGGGTACTAGTCTTGATTAACCCACAGAACCTAGAATAATATATATGTGTGTATACAATGAGTTTTGAGCCAGCAGAAGTATTACCACTGTTAGCATCTTGCGTGTTGCCCACAAGCTATAGGTGGATTAAGTAACGCCAATATCTTATTTCAAATGAGATAATAATATATGGCAAAGTGTGTTGTAAGTTACCACATATTTAATGTAGTATTATTAATTTTTCTAAAAAATTAATAAAAATTAATTCCAGCCTGCATTCAGGCTGGAATGCAGTAGCATGATCAAAGCTAACTGCAGCCTTGAACTCCTGGGCTCAAGTGATTCTCTTACCTCAGCCTCCCGACTAGTTGAAACTTAGGTGCGTGCCATCACACCTGGCTAATTTTTAAATTTTTTTGTAGAGATAGGGTCTCGCAACATTACCCAGGCTGTCTCAAACTCCTGGCCTCAAGAGGTCCTCCCACTTTGGCCTCCCAAAGTGCTGAGATGACAAGCATGAGCCCCTGTATAATACTGTATAACATTGTAGACCACTGTAGAATAGAGCCGCCTGGACCTATTCATTATTAATCATTATTAATAACATGTTAAATATGTGGTAACTTGCAAAATCCTTTGCCATTTATTATTTCATTTGAAATTAATACTACGTTAAATACTAACAGTATTATTAATAATGTAGGCTAAATATGTAGTAAATGTTATTTTCTTTTTCCCAAAATTTAACTGCCAACAATCGTCAATTCCTTCCATTTTTGATCTATGTAATACTGAACAGGTAAAGATCTTTAAATTGTACATGGTATTTCAAAGATCAAAGGCTTTGGAGTCAAGACACTTAGATCTGAATTTTGACATTGTTGTTTGCTTGCAGTTATGACCTGTAGTAAGTAATTTACGTCTTTTCATTTCTTATGTCTTTCTCCTATCTTTAATCTTACTCATGTCACTCCTTCAATCTTATCTCAAATGAGTGGAAAAATAGTGTTACAATCTTAATACTTTGTGCCTCTGAATTAAGGGTGAACAATCTCAGGAAGCTCAAGGAAATTCTGCCAAAAATCAAGCTATTTTGTGTCCTGCTCCTACACCACCAAAGAACACAAGGTGAAGATTAATTGCCATTGCAATGTGGAGACATGTAAAGTGGTAAAAATACCAAAAAACCACTATTATTTGTATTAGAAAGCAATTTTGCCAAAGAAAATGGAAAGTCAGAAAATTAAAAGGAATTATAACTGTTACATAATTTTTAAAAATTTAGCAGGTCAAAGAGGTCAGTTCAGAATAAAAGAATTCTTGGTATTTTAGGGGTGGGAAGTAAAGAAGGGGTAGGAAGATGGGAAGGGAAGCAAAGAACAATAAGTTCTACAGACTTCAATTTTTCTTTGTTTTTTCCAATAACCACAAAACAGGACCTCTTAGAATTAGGAAAAACTACCAAAATGCTATTAAGTATGCCAAATCTAACTACACTAAAATAAAACCATAGACAATGCAGATCTTAAGCAGTTTTATGAAAGAGGTACAGCAATATCATAAAATTCCACTGATCTGGACTCCCTAATTCCATAAGACTATGAATTCCAGAAGAGAGAAAGAAAACTTTTGTTGGTTTCATCACTGCTGTTTTCCCACTGCTTGAAACTGAACAGTGCTCAATATAGAACAAGTGTTCAAAAAATAATTGTTGACTAAATTACCTCCTCTTTGAAGTGATCAGTTTTCCAATACACAAAAGGAAAAATATCTTTATTACTTTTGAGGGTGATCTATTGTGTGGTTATTCTATAATTATTTATGCATTGTTTAACTTTGAAAAAGAATTTAAAGCAATACAAAAGATTATTTTGTATTTTCTTCAGTCCCCTTCAAAGTTTTATTCAGATTTATAATAATATTTGCACATCTTCAGCCTTCTTAAACTTTACTAAGAAGATAACCTGAATAAAAACACAAAAAGTGTTTCAATGTAACCATTTCTCACTCCCTGATCATCTCTTTGTCATGTAACAATTTCACTTGCAGCATGAAGATAATAATTATGTCACATTTAATTCTGAAGAGGAAGAAGTTCCTTATTTCCTAGAATATAATTGTTAATAAAATTCTCCTCAAGTCAAGCTGCTCTTACAGCTTCTCAAACAGCTGGTCATTCAATGATGTTCCTTGTGTAATTTCTTAATTTCCAGAGAATTTATTTTCCCTTTCTCCTCCTTAGACAATTTTATAGCTCAGCACAATGTAAGTACTATGTTATAGTACCTGAAGGCAATACAACTGTTCTTTTAAAATATTTTATAACTAGAATGCTTCACTAATATTAGCAAACCTACATGATTTATTTCATCAGAATTAACAAGATTTCCTTCTCTCTGGAAAGTACTATCCTTTACTGTCTCAACTAGATAGTCCTTAAGACAACTAATGTGTAACTTTCTAAAACTAGGTAGCTGAGTTCGTTTCCATTGTTGCTGTTCACTGCTATTCTTATGGCAGCAAGTTAGGGACTGAGATACATTATCTTTTCTCTGATAAATGAACAGGGAAAAAAATCCTAAGATGTCAGCAGGGGAAAGATGGAATTCTTTACCTCCCAAATCCACAAAGATGATGAGAGCCTTTGATGCCATGATAATTTTGATTCAGCTATGTTGCAGAGAGTTTTCTGTGAATCATCTTATAATTTTAACTTTTTTTAAAAAATAAGAAAGTGTTCTAAACTGACTGAAAATTAGCTTCTTGAAATACAATACGTTTTTGTTTCTGAATTGCAAGTTGCAAAAGCCTGAGGGAATCAAGTATATCACAATAGCCTATAAACTCATAAATAAAATTAAATTGAATTCTGGCATTAATTAATAATAGAACCTTCTTATATTTTGGGTTTTAACAAAAACAAGAGAATAACTTGTCTTCTCACAAAAACATATATTTTAATCTCATTACCTACTACTTATTGACCACCTCCATAAGAAGATAACTAATGCCTAAAGAGCAATTCAACAAAGATCAAATGTAAAATTATGACTGGTAAGTCTAAATCCATTACATTTATATTTCATCTGGGTATCCTGCATGGAACATAAGAGGAGTAACAATATAATCTTCCCAATATTATCAAATTAATAGGTTAGGACAATTCCCACATAGTATTTGGGGCTTCTGATTTTCATCAGACACACAAAAATATTTAGCAATGTAGTTCCAACAAATTATCACAACTACTTTCAAATATTCACTAAAATATGCAAGAAAAAAATAACTTACTATCTCGGAGTGTTTCCCAAGCCCACTGGTCATTTTTGAAGAAGAGATGTCGTTTGATTTCTTCTACACCATTTCGTCCTAATCTCACTTCCCTGAATAAAGACAGAAGGAGAAAAGTAATTAATCATTTGAGATCTTATTAACCTGTACAGGTTTATTTGTGGGCAGAATATTAAATCTGTGCAGGACAAATACAGTTCTAAGGTGAAATTATATTGTCAGCATAATTTCAGCAAAATAGAAAATATGTTAAAGATAGAGAACATTAAAGAACTTTTTAAAAAGAAAACTGAAGAAAGGGCAGACGCGGTGGCTCACACCTATAATCCCAGCACTTTGGGAAGTCCAGGTGGAGTGGATCACCTGAGGTCAGGAGTTCGAGACCAGCCTGGCCAACACAGTAAAACCCCATCTCTACTAAAAATATAAAACTAGCCGGGTGTGGTGGAACACGCCTGTAGTCCCAGCTACTTGGGAGGCTGAGACAGGAGAATCGCTTGAACGCAGGAGGCAGAGGCTACAGTGAGCTGAGATCGCACCACTGCACTACAGCCTCCGTGAGACAGAGTGAGACTCCGCCTCAAAAAATGAAAAGAAAACTAAAGAATAACTACAAAAAACACCCATGACTTTTCTACTGACAACAAAAATCCAGATTGATCACCACCTTACTTCATTAGTAAAATGAATAAAGCACCATGCATTTTCTTGACAGTTGTTTGTGCGTGTATGTTTATTTTTTTCTTACAGTGGTAAAGTTATGCTTTTTTTCCCCCAACCAAAACTTTACTTAGGCAGTAATACCAGATGCTACCAAAAACCTCCAGAAACACATTTTAAATTTTGAATTTCCAATTTATAATCTATTAATTATTTCTGACCATTCAAAAGTCAGTGACTACTAATTCTTGATACTGCCACAAAATTCAGAGCTTTCACTGGACAAGTTACTGACACCAGCCTCTTTCCTGGTGAGCAAAAAGTTTTTAAAAACGTGATTTTAGCTGAATTGGAAAAAGAAAGTCAGCACCTTTTTTTCCCTAGTAGAGTGCTTATAAATAAAGAAAATACTCTAAATTCTAAGTTTCTGCATAAGCTAAAAGATAAGTTGGCTTAGATATGTGACAATTTTTCCAAGACGCTTTCACGAACTCTCAAACTGGATTAGAAAACCTCTCCATGGTTCTCTGGCACATGGTACTTACCTCATGGTAATTAGTTGTCTGTACTATAAATGTCTGATTTGCTCATCTAATTCCCCCAAAGGACTATGAGATATTTGAGAGAAGTGGCTCTGTATCTTCCTCACTACTATATCCCTAGCACCTAATAAACAGTATAGTACAATTCTTTATATTCAAATGTAAAAATTATCCAGGCACGGTGGCTCACACCTGTAATCCCAGCACTTTGGGAGGCCAAGGCAGGTAGATCATGAGGTCAGGAGTTCAAGACCAGCCTGGCCAACATAGTGAAACCCTCTCTACTGAAAATACAAAAATTAGCCAGGCGTGGTGGCAGGCACCTGTAGTCCCAGCTACTCAGGAGGTTGAGGCAGGAGAACCGTTTGAACCCGGGAGGTGGAGGTTGCAGTGAGCCAAGATCGCGCCACTGCACTCCAGCCTGGGCGACAGAGCGAGACTCTGCCTCAATGAATCAATCAATCAATATCAATGTAAAAATTAGCCAGGCATGGGTGGCTCACGCCTATAATCCCAGCATTTTGGGAGGCTGAAGTGGGAGGATCACTTGAGCCCAGGAGTTTGAAACCAGCCTGGGCAACGAGCAAAACCCTGCCTCTGTTTAAAAAAAAAAGTAAACATTTGAAAAACCATACTTCAAGCTCTAAAGGACATAATGAAGGCAAGTTAAAGCAAATATCAACTTGAAACATATTTAAAAGTACTAGGTCTCTCTAATATTTAACAATTTACAATCATAAACATTAAATATAATCTTACTAATACATCTGGTTCACTTTCAAATTTCAAAAGTAAACCTCAAAGGTATACATAATATGTCATTTTTCTTTCAAAAACGCAGACAAGTATCATTAAAATGCTTGTTGAATCTACAAGATGGAACACCAACTATTATGTCTAGAAGAAAAAAGGTAGTATACTTTTAAAAATGGCTTTATACTATTGACTCTTTCAACAACCATATACCATACATCATCAAATCTAAAATGGTTTAAAGTATAAGGTGTATCACCATTTTTATACCACTAGGAAAAAGAATGCTCCCAACTCACACCATTGACTGTGAGATGTTCTCTAATTTCAGAGATGTTATGTTAAAAAAATTTTTTAGATTCAATAAAATACGCTGTAATTTTTATAATTAACCAAGTTAAAAATTGAACAATAAAAGAAAAAGTCATCTAATTTAGCCATCAGCCAAGACTATATTATCATCACAATTTCTTAGGTATGATAAGTGAGCTGAGATCCACAAAAGACATCTAGACTATCATAAAATTATCTCAGGTTTCACTGTCATTAACAGTTTTGAGAATGGTAGCATATAAAAATTCTAACAATTTACACGTAGAAACTCAGATATGGACCTTAAAAACAGAGCAGAAGATGAGAAGTCCTCAGAATTAATACACGCTCAATTTTAAAATTATTTACCTGTCAGTAAGGAAGGCACAAATAAGGTTTTTTGCTTCTTTTGATATGTCATTATCATCAGGAAAGGTAAGTGAATTTTTATGGTTCATAATTTTACTGTAAGTTCCAACCAAAGAATCTGCATAAAAAGGTGTATCACCTGAAAAATTAATAAAGAAAACAAAAGCAAAATGAAATACATTTGGAAAAAGTCAGTTTCAAAGGAAGAGTCAAAGTTAACCCATTTTAAAAGATTATTAGGTATGTATTAAACTAAAAACATACTCCTAATATATAAAAAGAACACATCATAAAGTTGCTCTAAGCCTCTAAATGCTTTTAAAAACACATACAAAGCGGGTTTGGATCATGTTTATTACCCACAAACAAAATCAAGATTGCTTAAGAAAATAAGTATTATATTAGAAAGAGCCAAGTGGCGAGTTTTGAGATGAACAACTATAATAGAGAGACATAAAATCTTCCTTTACTCACCTACAAGCATTTCGTATAAAAATACCCCAACCGACCACCAGTCACATTCTCTTCCATAATAACCATCACCACCTTGGGATTTTAATACTTCAGGGGAAATATAATCAGGTGTTCCAACTGCTGTATCACATCGTACCATGCCTTCCTAAAAACAGCAGCAGGTCAAATTTTGAATTAGGATATAAAGTCTCAATTATTTAAAATGACTTTCTTATTAATATAACCTATGGGACTCCAAATCTTTGAGCTATAAAATATCATATATTAAAACTTAATGGAAACCTGACAAAAATTAACACAGCTTAATCATATATATACATACTATATACACACCATATACATATATACCATAAAATGTATGTGTATACACGTGTATGCATATACACACACACTATACGTGTATTCACATATATACACACACCAGTGATTATTTTGTAATAATGCTCACTAGAAAGACATACTGCCACCATTTATTATTCCCCGAGTTGTGCCAATATCATGATATCATCTTAACTGCTGAGAATAAGTACACAGGCCAGTGCAAATACATTGGGGAGTTCATAGAATAGGGCATTTTACAACATATTAGTATAAACGCTGACTTCCTTATTTCTTACTAAAATAGCTATTTAACTATGTTTGAAACTACAAAAGAAACATACAAAAGTTGACTGTATAAATATAAAATGGGGGCGCATATGTATGGGGAAAGGGCATAATAGTGTAAAGCACATTGAATATCTATTTCATGTGAATTTTAACTGCCCTCCCCCACCAAACCTGAGAGACTTGTTAGTTGTTACCTATATTTGCTGGTATTAATGAAACAGAATTATAACTAAATCCTCACACAAAAGTTCTCATGCAGTGTTTCCTTCACTGTTTATATGAAGTGAAGGAATAACATACACAGCTGAATGAGCTGTGTATATGTTTTATTTATTATATAGTGAGGATAGGTATCTTTTAAGACTCACTCCTAAAATAAATAGTAAAATTTTTTATATGTTAACAGAAGTAAAACACTAAAAAATACACACATCACTGAAATCCAATTTTTATGAAAGTCTAATTTTAACACTGGCATAAGTATTTAGTGACGTTTAAGCTAATTCCATTCCTAGTTACCAGTAGTGTATATTAGAGTTGTTATGAAGGATTTAGTAAATTTGGCAATCCACATTTACCCTAAATAGAGAGGAAAAAATAAATCACTAACAAGTTACTAATACCACATTGAAACCATGGTATCTAGTTCAACAAATAAGGTCATATCAATTCTGGACAAGTCCAGCAATGGTTAGTAAATTCTTAAACCATTTTCTAAAGAAGCATCTATCTTGAATCAGTAAAAACTAAATTAAAATCTAGTTAATTAACCTTATTCATCTTCATACAAGTACCAAAATCTGCTAACTTCAAATGTCCAGATTTATCCAGCAGCATGTTATCAGGCTTCACATCTCTGCGGGAGGGAAAAAATAGTACAGTATTTTCTGAAACAGATTAGACACTGTAAAAATTATATGAGGCAGTTATTTTAGGTCAAGCATCCTCAATCTAGGTAAGGCCATCCTGGATCTGTATGTGTTCTCTAACCACATCTATAAATTAAATTTCATCAAGGAAACTTCTTTATATGTTAATGCCTCAGAAGAAAACATATATATTCCTTTTTAAACAGAGTTTGATTCTTTCAGAGGGAAAATCAAATTGTTTAAGAGACTGACCATCAAAAATACAACACTCAGACATAAAAGGTGATTGAAACATATGAGATAGATAAGTACATAAAAAACCCCAGGGCAGGGTCTAAGTTGCTTTCATTTTTGATCCCTGACATGTAGGCACAGCAACTGCACACAGGATTCCAGCAGTGTTTGTACAACAAATGAAACTATTCGTCTATGAATAAATATGATGTATTCACTAATTAAAAGCAAATTAAATTACATATTTAAAAAATTAACATCAAAGTGTTTAACTCCTGGCACATACCTTAGAAAACTAGTTTACAATTTTTACTTTTCAGAATATCATTTTAAAGGCTATATGATCAGATTAAGGGATATTAAAGAATACATTTATACCAACATTAAACTGAAATGCTAAATTTATAAACTTCAAAGTCTGGAGTTCTTTTTTCCCCCCTTCCTGAGATGGAATCTCATTCTGTCACCCAGTCTGAAGTGCAGTGACTAGATCTCAGCTCACTGAAACCTCTGCACTCAGGCTCAAGCAATCTTCCCACCTTAGCCACCCAAGGAGCTGGGACCACAGGTGCATGCCACCTGTTGTTGAGATGGGTTTCACCATGTTGCCCGGGCTGGTGTCAAACTCCTGAGCTCAAGAGATCTACCTGTCTCAGCCTCCCAAAGTGCTGGGATTACAGGCGTGAGTCAGCGCCTGGCCAACGTCTTGAGTTCTGAAATGTCATTCATGTCATACAGAAGAATGGGTGAATTGAGAGTAAGAAATGTTAAAGTTATTTTTTAGCTATTTCCTTCAACAAATGAGAAAATTTAAAGCACTTTTATCTTTACCTGTGAATAAAACCCATGGAATGGATTGCATCCAATGCAAGAACTACTTCTGCAGTATAGAATCGTGCCCATTTTTCAGGCACATCATAGTTGCTCATTAAGTTTACAAGATCTCCACCAGGCATGTATTCCATCACCATGTAGAGATAACGATCATCTTGGAATGCATAAAAAAGCTACACAGACAAAAAAACACACAAAACATATTCATTAATGTTAAACAAAATTGTTTCACTTAAAAAGTGGCAAAAATACTAACAAGATTTAAGTAAAATTAATCAAATTACAGAAGTTGCAAGTCCAGTTAAAAAAAAAGACAAACATAAATGCCACAAAGACCCCTGTATATGCAAAAGGACTATAACCTGATTATTCAGAAGAGTTACATGGAGATAGTCTTCCTTCATAACTTTCTATACTATTTGAATTTCCTTTACTGAGAATTTTTTTAAACTGTAATATTTTCAGTAAATATACAAATCTCCTAGGCAAAGAAATACTGTACTTCTTATTTGTGCATCAGTGAGGTCTACTATTAAATTTATATCAATATCACAATGCTCAAGAAGTCTTTGATAAATTTGGCTTAGTTTCAGCTGTTTCTTATTAGCTGTGTAACTAGTAATTTGCTTAACCTACCCGAGTCTCTGCGACTATAAGATCTTCTAAAACACTGTAACGACTGTACTTTAACTTTTATACCTGTTGCTTAGTCAAGTATCCAGATGCCTGGCAGTTAGTAATTGCTTAATAAAGGCTTAATGAACCAAATCATAAATTAATCCATGAAGTAACAGTGCACCTAACAGATTAACTGTCTTTCAGGGTTGAGGGTTGTTAAAAAAGATTACTGAATACAGAAAGCACTTAGTGCAATAGATGCTCAACAAATGACAACAGTCAGGAGGAGGAGTAGTAACACAAAAGTAGGAGAAAGGCAGCCGCTAGAGCTAAAATAGTAACAGTAAAATCCACTAATGTGAAATTAGTGAGGATATCAGGCATAAACATAGCATGTCACCGGGGATCAAATAAAAAGGTCAAATTTACAAAATAACATTTTAAGTAAATATAAGAAGTTCAGAATTAAACTAAAAAAAAAAGTAAGCCCCAGAGAAGACGATCTCTAATTTACCCAGATGTTTGTCTTAAAATCTGCTTAATGTTTCATTTTTTTCAACAGTGTTTAGTAATTTTAGTTATAGATTCAGTTATTTTGTTTTGATTTTTTATTTTTTTGTAGAGGTAGCGGGGCCAGTCTTGAACTCCTGCCCTCAAGTGATCTTCCTGCCTCAGCCTCTCGAAGTGCTCGGATTACAGGCTTGGGACTACCACACCCGGAGGAGACTCAGTTATTTTAATGTAAAAAATATATTTTGGGGGAAGAGGGAAGGATAAGAAACAAACTGGCATTTCATGACTATCCCAGATTAAAGTACACAATTTGTCATTTGGGCCCCATAAAGAAATATTGTTAATTTGGTGACAGTTTACCCTATTTATAGACAATATATCCAGAGAAATAAAGCTCTGAATACCTAAATTGTAAATAGCCCTGAAATTGACAATTATGTCACATATCTTTTAACTAACGGACACTGAACATGCATGTATCAGTGGTTGTTAACCAGTGGTGAACACATTTTTGGTTGTCACAGCTGTGTGTGAGGTGAGAAGAGTTGCTACTGGCATCTCCTGTGTAGAGGCCAGGAATGCTGCCAAACATCCTAAATAAACATACTCGTAACTGGAATAATGTAAAGGACGGCCCCCAACAACAAAGAACAAATACTATACTAACGTCAACAGTATTAGGCCTGAGGAACTCTGATCTACACAGTTGGTAAAAACACAGACATTTCAAGTTGAAAAGTGCTATGGTGACCGGGTATGGTGGCTCACGCCTGTAATCCCAGCACTTTGGGAGGCTGAGGTGGGCGAATAACGAGATCAGGGGATCGAGACTATCATGGCTAACACAGTGAAGCCTGTCTCTACTAAAACTCCAAAAAAAATTAGCTGGGCGTGGTCCCAGCTACTCGGGAGGCTGAGACAGGAGAATGGCATGAATCCTGGAGGCAGAGCTTGCAGTGAGCCGAGATCATCGCACTATTGCACTCCAGCGTGGGCAACAGAGCAAGACCCCGTCTCAAAAAAAAAAAAAAAAAAAAGTGCTATGGCATAAACCTTCAACATTTTTCATACCCTTTTAATTCCAATTACTGTTATGCTTTTTAAGGATAGACTTCATCATATATTATAAATAAATAAATCACAAATACAAGTTAGAAAATTAGAAATGGTCTAGCCCAGTTTAACTTCCCCCGTATGACATTTTACATTAAGGACCCCAATACATAAGACAGATAAAACATGAAGCTGAACTCATAAAAGCAGAGAGAAAACTCAGAATTATAGTCTACCCAAAACCCCACTTGACCCCATGATTTTGCCTAAGGTACCTCCACAACTGAACATAACCAATCAAAGACAACTTTCACACTTACGAACAAGGGAACTGTGGCCCAGAGGTGTTAAGTAACATGGCCACAGCTTCAGAGAAAGGCCTATGGCAATCAAGACGAGGACCTAAAACTACTGACTTCTAGTTTATTTTTCTTTCTACTGAAAACCTAAAGACAAGTATTATTTGGTGACCTAGCTTAACTTGGTTTCCTCTCACTTTCCCTTCATTTCCCTTATTATCTCCTCTTCACAAAATAAGAGACAAATAAATGAGGAGACAGCTAAACAAAATGAGAGCCTCATGTCTGGGGAAAAAAAATTCAATATTAAATAAAAGTAACTATTTAAATTTTAATAATATATGACTTCCCTCAAATTTAAGTAGATTAAGTTTTCTGTACCTTCTGTATTTAAAAATACCTAATTTAAAATTCTGTGTTTAAATTTTATATTTTTTATTTTTATTTTTGATACAGGGTCTCACTCTGTTGCCCAGGCTGAAGTGCAGAGATGTGAACACAGCTCACTGCAGCCTCAACCTCCTGGACTCAAGCAATCCTCCTGCTTCAGCCTCCTCAGTAGCTGGGACCACAGGCGTGTACCACCATGCCTCAATAATTTTTTTAATTTTTTGTAGACATAGGTGTCACCATGTTGCCCAGGCTGGTCTCAAACTCCCAGGCTCAAGCAATCCTCCTGCCTCGTTCTCCCAAAGTATTGAGATTACAGGCCTGAGCCATAATGCCCAGCCCAAATTCTACATTTAAATTAAATTTCCTATATATAAATTCTACAGAAGCATAATTATTTTGTTCTGGCCTTTCTTTCTAGAAATGATTCAATACAATTAAATTTTAAGATTTAAAAGGTAATTAGACAATTTTGTAACTGCCAGTGAATTCTCTATTACTATTCTAAAACACAAACTAAGCTTCTCAGATATGTTTAGTTACAAACTGATAGAGCAGTAATGAAAGAGTAGCAAAGTCATACCTGAACAACCCACGGACTATTAGCAAAAGCCATGATGTCCCTTTCTTCCCAGAAAAAAGCAGAATCAGATCTCTTAATCATTTCAAATTTGCTGAGAAGCTTCATAGCATATACCTTCCTGGTGGATTTATGCCTTACCTTTAAAATTGAAAAGGGAAAATAATGAACCTTTTGTTAACATTTAAAGCTCAAGCTTTCACAGAACAATTTACTAAGTGCTTTTAATACTTGTTAAATAATTAAGCTTTACTGTTTCCGTTATTTTTATTTCTTCTCTTCTGCCAAATTATTCCAAGTAGCTAATGTCAAGACTTTAATTATCAGAAGTAATGTTTTAAAAAAATCTTTATTTCCTATATTATAAGATACGTTCCCCCCTCCATCCTGCTATGTAAGCTGCTTCCTATTTATAAAGCTTACTATTCTACAGCATTTTAGTCTAATATTACGAGCAAAGATTTATCTTCTGACGCCTGAGACTTCTTCTCTGCCATAGGTACTTGGGGAAAACACTTCCCACTATGGCTGGATTTGACACTAGGCTTTCATACCCTAGGCAACAATGTCTAAAGGAACTTCAAGCAACAATTCTATAAAAACAGTATTTTCCCAAATAATATGTTAAACACACAAGTGGATTATTTTAATTTAATAAAATCCTTTTTTATTCTCATTAAAATAACCTACCAATTGAACTTCTCCAAATGCACCTCTACCAATCACCTTCACTACTTCATAATCTTCGGCTTTCATTCGTAAATCTCTGATTTTATTTATTGTGTCTTTATCTGTATGAAAAGAAAAGCTTATCATTTTAAATCACTAAAGTACTACAATTAGCACTACTTATTTTACATTCGAGTTCTTAAGAAACACAATGAAAAACAACAAACTTCATTAAGAATTATTTGAAAATATGGTGAAACTTGAAATTATAAAACAGATAAATGTTCAATTTGCTAATATTTTAAAAATAAATTCCAGAATAACTTCATTATAGCTACTAAAGGTTTTTATTAATCAAAATATGACCTAACAGAATGTTTTAAAAACAAATATTACACTACAAACAAAAGCTGAGAATAATTAGCTAATTAGTTCCTAGTATTTTAAGTACACATCAAATCCGAATTTAGGAAACATGAGTAGATATTTTAGATTAATACTGGAATAAATTTTTCTTTTTATAAGGTCGGTTTTAGTGACCCTTTTAAAAAAGATGTAATTTAAGATATCAAAAGCAAATACACTAAAAAAAAAAAACACAGTAAATTTTCCAACTGGCAAACGTTAATACTTACATCATTACATTTCTCTATTTGAACCTAGATTTTTAACTTGAAACACACAGTGAAAATCACTGCAATTATTTATATAAACCTGTCATACTACAAACTACAATAATTCACAAATCCCCACTGGATAGATATTCTAATTCCTAATTTGGTCATAGATTAAATTAGGGCTATTTTAATCCACATGGGTCAACACTGGCATGAGATTACATGGAAAAGCTTCACATTTCAGAGTTGTACAAAATACACAGCAGCTATTAAACTTCAGTTCTAGCTCCTAATAAGAGCTGTATTAATATTCTTGTTTTCCCTTTCAAATGCAAATTTAAACTTAAGTGTTTGTGTATTTTATGATCAATAAATACATGCAACAGAGAGCAAATTTCTACAAAGTTATAAGTACATTTAATTTTAGGTTACATATTCACTGCAAGATGCACCAGAAAGATAGACAATAATCAATTAATTCACTGCACAAATATTTGTATCTACCACACATCAGGCTGTACAGCACTGGAAATAAAGGTAACTTTAAAATGTAGCTCCTATTCTTTAAGAGTTCAAACACTAGCAAATGAAACAGAAACAATGAAAAAAAGAATTCAAAATAATGTAATAAGGAAGATAAACAGTTTTTTGAGTACTAAGGAGGACACCTAACCAAAGCCTGCTGGGGTGAGAGATAGGTAGGAAGATTCTGTAAATGATGGTACCTGAAACAAGTCTAAACTGAGTAGTAGTGGTTAGCTAGGTGATAGACAATGAAAGAAAGAACAGGCCGGGCATGGTGGCTCACACCTGTAATCCTAACGCTTTGGGAAGCTGAGGCAGGCGGAATGTATGAGTCCAGGAGTTCAAGACCAGCCTGGGAAACACGATGAAACCCTGTTTCTACAAAAAATATTTTTAAAAATTTAGCTGGGTGCAGTGGCAGTTTCCTGTAGTCCCAGCTACTCAGGAGGCTGAGGTGGGAGGATCACCTAGGCCTGGGAGGTGAAGGTTGCAGTGAGCCAAGATCACACCAGTGCACTCCAGTCTGGGCAACAGAGTGAGACCCTGTCTCAAAAAAAGGAAAGAACCAACAAATATAAGCAGACAAGCAATGTAAACCAAGCACAGAGGAACTGTATCTAAGTTCTATGTTGCTGGAGTATCAAGTTTGTAGTAAGGACTGACAGAAGAGGCTGGAAAGCCCCAGATAAGTTCAAGAGCTTGAACTTTACCTGTCAGCCAGTAGTTATAGTAATAACACTATAATTTAAGTATCAAAAACCATTTTCACATTAAAGTTTAAAGTAGCTCTCTATATAAAATAGATCAAAGAAACTGCTCTGTTTTAAAGGAGGTTAAAGGTGTCAGACAAGAGACAGAGCCTCATCTACTTTAGGCTCTTCCATAATACAGCCCCTGAGGAATCCTCTGGAATCTGCTGGGAACTGAGAAACACCACTACTATGGGCAGGAAGCCATGAAAAGGAATTACAGTGGACAAAACAACATAGTCAAACTTACATTTCAGGAAAACTACTCTAGGGAATATGTAGAAGATGAGTTCAATAAAGGCAAGACAGGAGGTGGGGAGAGTTTTAAGAGTATTGTAATATCCCAGATGAGACAGAAAGTTCTGAACCTGGATAATAGCCTGTGAGGTTGAGAAAAGATTCTTGGCTCTAGCTATATGAGCTAGAATAGGCTGCAGAGTCTTGACAAAGGCTGCAGACAAGTCATTTGAAATCTAAAAGATCTTTCTATGTTCTACTGCCTTGGATTTTAGCTTGTTCTAATACAGGTTTATGTGCTAGTAAGTGTAAATGCCTCTGTTGGATGGCTTTCAGTCAAACTCAGAGTTTCTATGGTCCTAGTTTTCTCAGTTCATCTCACCAATGGTCCAACCTAGAACTAATCAAGAACTTAATGGTAAAATTCTAAGCATTAGACTTTAGTTTCCCAAACACTCAGGACTGTGTATTCACACCCATCCAAATCTCAGGATCTTAAACAGAAGCCTATTTATTGTCAAGTAGTCACGTAAGAAACCCACTCTTGGTCTAGGGGTACTATACAGCCTGAACTTTGTAGGCTTATGGCTCCGTTGAGACAGAAAACAATGCATGCACTAGAACGAGGTTCCCAACCCCTGAGCCGCAGACCTGTACCGGTTCATGGCCTATTAGGAACTGGGCCATACAGCAGGAGATGAGCAGTGGGTGAGCAAGCATTGCCATCTGAGCTTCATCTCCTGTCAGATCAGCAGTGGTCCTAGATTCTCACAGGGGCACAAACCCTATTGTGAACTGCACATGCGAGGGATCCAGGTTGCATATTCCTTATGAGAATCTTTTTTTAATCCTGATGATCTGAGGTGGAACAGTTTCAGAAAACCATCCCGTCTGCCACCCCCCAACCCCCATCCTGTCCATAGAAACACTGACTTCCACAAAACTGGTCCCTGGTGCCAAAAAGTTTGGGGACTGCTGCTCTAAAGGGAAATAATAAGTACATGAATAAATATGTAACTTAATTTCACATTGTGATACATATTCTAAAGAAAATAAGACCAAGCTTTCCCAAGTCTGTAAGGGGAGACTATAGGCTAATTCTTCAGTCACTTCAAACTCTGCATTGATTCCTTAAATAAACAAGAGTCAAGGAAAACAACTCAAAATTGGTTATTTTTTTAATTGACTATTGATGCCACTCCCAATACCCCCAATTCTTTGAGCAGCTATTCTTTCCCAAAGGCTAACAGTCTTAGGCAAGTTTTTGTCTCTGTACACATTTGTTTGGCTGCTGCAATCACATACCATCAGTGAACAGCTTTCTCTGCTCGGCTAGTGAATACACCACTCGTACGCTTACATAACATTGCAGCCTCTTTTTTTTTATTTTTTTATTTTTGTTAAGCCTGCATGATCATTTTTCTTTATGAAGAAATTTTATGGGGATGAGATACTCCGTTTTAAATTTTCTCTTTTTTCTTACTGTTGCTGTCCTATGTCGGGAAGATCATAGTGAGTACTTAGTCTGGGAATGTCCAATGTACACTGTATTCCTTTAGCACAGCTATACTGTCACTGCATAATTTTAAAAAATGCTTTGCCACCTAACTTGATAAAAATAATGCATACTCCATTGTGCTTCAAAAGGACAACATTTGGGCTGGGCATGATGGCTCACACCTGTAATCCCAGTGCTTTGGGAGACGAAGGCAAGAGGACTGCTCAAGGCCAGGAGTTTGAGACCAGGCTGGACAACATAGCAAGACTTGTCTTTACAAAAAACTTAAAAATTAGCCAGGTCCATGGTGGCATGCACCCGTAGTCCCAGCTACTTGCAAGGCTGAGGCAGAAGGACTGCTTGAGCCCAGGAGTTCGAGGTTGCAGTGAGCTATGAACGTGCCACTGCACTCCTGCCTGTGCGACAGCCTCTTACGGGAGGGGAAAAAAAGACAACATTTCAAGTATACTCTTCTCTTCTTGCTTTGACACAATGCGTATACACTGGTAATAGAAAATAAATAAAATGTTGTGGTATGGTGGTACATATAGCACTCAAAACTCAAGCTGTAACAGCATCACTGTGATGTCTACTGTGCTGAGCAACAGTGTGAAGCAAGGAGAGAATTACATATGGTCTCTGTTGTAGCTACTCAGCTTAGGTGTTGTAGAACAAAAGCCACCACACACAATACATTTTTTAAAGTATAGCAACATCCCAAGAAAACTTTATTTATGGACACTAAAATCTGAATTTCCTATTATGTCACATTCATGATATATTATTCTTTTGACTTTTTTTAAATCATGGACAAATACAAAAAACATGCTTAGTTCATGAGCCATAGTGGTGGGTGAGATTTGGCCTGTGGGCTGTAGTTCACCACCTTCTGCTCTAATAAAACCCAGTGGCCCTCTGAGGGCACTGCTTCCCCACAGCTCTCAAGTCAGGACCTTTACTTATCCACATGCCTTAGACTACCAACCCTGAAAGTGGGAGATCTCCACATCCCCACCCCTAAATCTGCTAGCTTTGATTTTCATTAGGTTGTACTTCCCACCTCTCATTGTTGCTGTAATCCACTGACTCTCAGAGGTCACCACGTCTCATTGCTAGACAGTTTTACTTCTGATTTACTGAACTTCTCTCCAATATTTTCCTGTTTCAATTCTTTTTTTTTTTTTTTTTTTTTGGGACGGAGTCTCGCTCTGTCGCCCAGACTGGAGTGCAGTGGCGCAATCTCGGCTCACTGCAAGCTCCGCCTCCCGGGCCCACACCATTCTCCTGCCTCAGCCTCCCGAGTAGCTGGGACCACAGGTGCCTGCCACCACACCCGGCTAATTTTTTGTAGTTTTAGTAGAGACGGGGTTTCATCGTGTTAGCCAGGATGGTCTTGATCTCCTGACCTTGTGATCCGCCCGCCTCAGCCTCCCAAAATGCTGGGATTACAGGCGTGAGCCACCACGCCCGGCCCCTGTTTCAATTCTTAATAACTT